GGGCAGAGCCCTGGCGCTGTGTGTGGGTGTGTGTGTGTGTGTGTGTGTGTGTGTGTGTGTGTGTGTGTGTGTGTGTGTGTGTGTGTGTGTGTGTGTGTGTGTGTTGTGTGTGTGGTTGTGTGTGTGTGTGTGTGTTGTGTGTGTGTGTGTGTGTGTGTCTGTGGTGTGTGTGTGTGTGTGTGTGGTGTGTGTGTGTGTGTGTTTGTGTGTGTATGTGTGTGTGTGTGTACTCCCTATATGTACTCACCTATATGTGCTTGCAGGATCGAGCATTGACTCTTGGATCCCGCCTTTCTAGCTATCGGTTGTTTACAGCAATGACTCCGGTCCCATTTCCCTATCATACCTAGTTTTAAAAGTATGAATAGTATGTGCTTCCACAACCTGTTCCCCAAGTGCATTCCATTTTTCTACTACTCTCACGCTAAAGAAAACTTCCTAACATCTCTGTGACTCATCTGAGTTTTCCAGTTTCCCCACCCAGGTCCCCTCGTTCTGTTATTATTACGTGTGAACATTTCATCTATTTCCACTTTGTCAATTCCCCTGAGTATTTATATGTCCCTATCATATCTCCTCTCTCCCTTCTTTTCTCTAGGGTCCGTAAGGTTCAGTTCCCTCAGCCGCTCTTCATATCCCATCCCTCGTAGCTCTGGACAAGCCTCGTCGCAAACCTCTGAACCTTCTCCAGTTTCTTTATGTGTTTCTTCAGGTGGGGGCTCCATGATGGCGGGGCATACTCTAAGACGGGTCTCACGTAGGCAGTGTAAGCGCCCTAAAAGCTTCCTCATTAGGTTTCTGAATGAAGTTCTAATTTTCGCCAGTGTAGAGTACGCTGCTGTCGTTATCCTATTTATATGTGCCTCGGGAGTAGATTAGGTGTCACATCCACTCCCAGGTCTCTTTCACGAATCGTTACAGGTAGGCTGTTCCCTTCATTGTGTACTGTGTGTGTGTGTGTGTGTGTGTACTCACCTAGTTGTACTCACTAGTTGTGTCTGCAGGATCGAGCATTGACTCTTGGATCCCGCCTTTCGAGCATCGGTGTTTACAGCAAGGACTCCGTCCCCATTTCCCTATCATACCTGGTTTTAAAATTATGAATAGTATTTGCTTCCACAACCTGTTCCTGAAGTGCATTCCATTTTCCCACTACTCTCACGCTAAAAGAAAACTTCCTAACATCTCTGTGACTCATCTGAGTTTCAAGCTTCCATCCATGTCCCCTCG